ATGTGAAGCGTACACAAAGCTGAAGGCTGGAATGCTGTCTAATGCTCTCTCTTTGGACCTTTGTTTCCCTGGTGAAGGCTTCAGAGACATTTACCTATTTGCTGCATTTGAAGTCCCCCACCAAGGACCTTCACATTACTGGAGAGAATCTATGGATATGAGGGGATTTGGCTAACAGATGCCAATGACTAAGAGGGTAGGCATCTATTATAAATGCTGTGATATATTTGAAAATAGTGTTGATATTACATAAGGTGAAAATATACTGAAATAGAAAAATAGAGATACTTGGTGAGAAACTCAGGTTTAATAACTTGAGCAGATATCACTGGATACATATAGTATGACAAATATCATAACAAATCAAAAACAGTCAAGTATTAAGAGTGTTAATCTCTGGCGGCAGGATTGTGCTTTTTATATTCTGAGATTGATTTGTTTATATTTTCTAATTGTATAAAACACACAAATGTTCTTCAAAATAACATAACAATTAAAAATAAAATGTTGGAAGAGGACACTGAATGTCTCTTTGATTAAAAAATAGAATTTAATGGTCTTAAGACTAAGGATAGCCAAAAAAAGTAGAACTACTCTTATTACCACCTCTTATGTGACATCTCACCAAAACAAACATCAGAAATCGTTCCTTCTGAGTATTTTATTGAGGATGTCATAGGGTGAGCATTATTATTAACAGTTCTTATTATAACAGTAAATTGTGTGATATGTCAGCACATCGGCAGGTGTCCATCTTTGATACAATTTTGAAAGTTTTCTTCTCTGACTGAGGTTTAGAACAAGGTAGGACTAATGTCCCAGTGGACAGGTGAACTTTCTGAGGTCAAAACACATTCCTACATTTCCATAGGTGTACAGGTTGGCATGCCATTCAGAACACTGATGACTCACTACTAAACACAAAGAGTCCTGGTAGTACGGTTCCTCACTAAAAAATGAAAAGAATACACGCATGCTGAAGGGTCGTTGCTTAGCCTCCTGTCTGGTGGGCTATCTGATGGTTCATGAGTAAGGATTAAGCATCAAGAAAGTACTCTCTAGGGGTTATACTATCATCTGTCCTTGGCCTGGTTATGTTCATTGTTTTTACATCATTACTTGGATAAGGTATACGTATACTTATCAAATTTGAAAGTGATCCATGAGAAAATATAAACGTATCTCTTTCCTTGCAAAAATGGCTAAATCAAAGTATGAAAAGAACCCATTACTATTAATAATAGCTAGAACTCATGTATACATAACATATGCCACACTCCTGTCCAAATGCTTTACAAATATTAATGTGTTTAATTGCCCAGAATAATTTTATGGAGTAGGTGGTATGGCATTTATATGAACTATTGTTGGAGACAGTGTATGATAGAGCTATAGATTTGGAATCTATAGCTTGAATTAAGATGCTTAATTAAGTAATTTAATTACTGTGAATATGCTCTGCATAAACTTGAAAAAAATCACTAATTTCCTAATGTTCTCTGTGTTTCAATGAATGCATCTATTAAAAAAATAGGATAGTCGTTCATTTACTCAACAAACATTTCTCAAATACCTACTCTATGGTTATGATACCACGTAGTATCTTTTCTCAAGGAATTCCTTTCTTGAGGAAGAGAAATGTTTTCAATTACACAAATGGTATTTCTTTAAAAGGGCTATCTAGTAATAACCCTTCGTTCCTGTGTACAAATAATATAGGCTGTTGGTTTCAGATTCATATTATTTATCATAATGAGAAGATATATTTCTGTTCCTAGTTTGCTGAATTTTAAAGCAGAGATGCAGGTATTTAAATTGTTCATGTGTTATTTAGGTATGTATTGTAATGATTATTTTTCCCTCTGACATTTGTATATACTGAATTTTGTTAATATTTTCTTTACTAAAATATAATTGTATTTTTAATCAATATCAGTTCGAATTCCAGTTGAATATAGCATAGTAAGATTTTTTAATCTACGTTTATAAATCAAACTAGCTTTTAAATTCTAGAAATAAAATTCATTTTTAAAACCAGTATATGTTCTTTGTCCATTAGGATTAACTGAACAATGACTGATTCTACTAAAACTAATCAAGAAAAAGAGAAAAATGCCATCAAGTTGTGAATTATAATAACAGAAGCAGAAATTGTAAAACAAATTGTGACACTTTCAGTTTTTTAATTAAGTAGTTATACTAGTATAATTGAAAAATTATTATACATTTCTCCTTAAAACATTTACTCAAGAGTGCTTAAAAATCAGTGAAAGGGATTTTTGTTATACTTTCTATTTTTAAAGCACCATTTTAATCTGTTCTTTATAACAGGATATATTGAATATGTCAATTTACAGATTAACTAGTTATGAGGATTATAAATTTGACAATTTTGGCTTTCTTAAGAAAATTTTAATTTTGGTTTAACATGGTTGACAAAAGAATTACTAAATTTATGTGTGCATAGTTTAACCAGGTATGTTAATTTGATTCTTATCTCCTGCAATTATTTGTTTTGGAAGAATCCAAATTCCTGATGAATGACATATTTATAACTAGAGTTACATTCTCAGCTCTCGCTCAAGCTCGTTTCCTAATCTCAGTTTTATGAAGTGCTAAAGTTAAGAAGTTGTAGTAATTGTTTTCAAAGATGTTGCTTTTAGACAAAAAAGCCGTCCAAGTGGAATTTTAAGGTCAAAATATAATATCCTCCTGCAATTTAACTCTCATCTCTATTTTATTAAAACAAAAACATAAATTCGTGTGGAATGCTTCTAAGTTCAAAACGAGGGCAGGGCTTCCTAAGCTCCTTATGCAGTCTCTTCAAGGAAACTTCGGGCTCCTTTTTCTAAAAACTCTCCTTTTTCAATACCAATTTTCTTGCCTTTTAGGAAGCCTGCACTTAGCAAGGGATTTATTTATTCATTCACTTCCAGCAACCCACTCTTGCCAGAACTTTCCTATAAAGAAGTGAAATTAGTTGGAGTTTGTATGGGGTGGAAGAGACCAGTCTCTCTTCCAACTTGGTGCTTCACCAAGCTTAAGAAAAAAATCATTTAAGAAAGTGAAAGAAACGAGGAACAATGTTCACTGCGCAGGAATAACTGCTACTGTCTCCAGAATGCTAACAGCACAGGTCAGCTTTTGCAAGAAAGTTTTCAAAGCGCTGATCAACTGTGAAGTCAGTAAGAGAACTTAATGCTGTCAACTGCATAGCTTGAAGCTAAGCAGCAATGACACCACACCATCACTGTGCAGAAGCAGGCAAATAGATTCACTTAATGATAGGCCAGTGGACCCCTGAGGAAGGTGGTCATGTTATGCCCATCTTGAATAAATGTTAGGTCATATACAACTGGGTTATTATTACTTTTTCTCCCAAAAGACCTTTTGAAGTGTTCAAAGGAAAAGATGACAGAAGACATATGCTGCGCCAAATCACAAAGGCAGTTTGGTAAAATAAACCAGCTTTGTGTCCTCAAAAACCTCTGCTTTCACTTTGCTCAAATTTAAAGAAGTATCAACTGCTTTTGAAAAGCCCTATGTGAACAAAATGCTTTAGTCTGGAACGCATCGATGGGCAGATAGGTATGAGAGCATGCTGGTCTTACATGTTAGTTTCTTAAAGGAAAAATTAATTCTACTCTACCCTCATGTTCAGAGTTTTGTCTGCCAGATTGCCTAGTTTTCTACAGAAAGAGTGCATTCTCAAAAAATAAGTTTACAATGATGCATCAAGTCAAAAAAAAATGCAAAATGTTGTACCTTTTCTCCCCAAAATGTTGCACCTTTTCTCCCCATGTGGTCCCAAGAACTGCAGGCAGGTCGCCAAGAAGCAAGTTATACAGACAATCCAAAAGCCTGCTTTGTTAGAAAAGCACTGCTGAGGATGTTTTTTTCTTTTTATCTGAAGTTTGATTAAGTACTTGATTAAAGCTTGATTAAAATATTAAAAATCTAAACCAGAGGTCACAGAATGTCAACCTACAAGACAAATCTGACCCATAATTTCATTTTTTTTAAAAAGTCAGCATTCAACATTTAGGAAATTATTGCATAATTATGAATTTCTAGCTTCCTGTGAAACTTGGAAGATATGGAATAATTGGTTTTGTGTTCCCACAAAAATTCAACCAACTTGAGCCATGAGGTGACCATTTTGCTTCCTAAAAAATATTCCTCCAGGGCTTTTGCATCGAGTTCGAGTCCCAGTTCCCTTTAATTTTTTCTTGAGATTGTCTTACTAAGTTTCTAAATTATCCAGGCTACACTCAAACTGGTGATCCTTCTTATGCTACCAGAATGCTGGGACTACAGGCATCAACCACCACATCCAGCTGCTGTTTGGCCACGTTAAGAAACAAGATGCTTGCTGATGAGCTGTAGCAGTCTCCATCTCCCACCCAGTCCTACGAGAAGCTGGGCAGAGACTCCACCTCTGTGAAGGAATCTTCTTTTCTCTTTTCATGTGTTTACCTTATGCATATCCCTTCAGTAACCAACTCAGAGGAGGTCTATGTCCTCTTTGAGAAGTTACATAATTTAGGAGTCTAGATGATGTGACAAACCTTTGAAATAGAGAGTCACTAAACAGAAGCAGTCAGCACTGATGAATAACAACACTTCGAGGACTAATTTCTCAGATGAGTTAGCTCTATTACAAATAACAAAATGCTTTTAAAGTTAAAAATTCAGAGCTAGACATCAAAACCAAAGCAGAATAATGAATAATTGGACATATATTTCATTTATCTTTGGTCCATTCCCTATTTCTTTCTAAGCTAATGGATATGCTTGTTAAGCAAGACACAGAGTGCTTTATAAGTTTATTTCTAGTGTTCAGAATCATTGCTATGCCACTAAAACACAGCAAGCCAATATGGATTTAAACACAAAATGATTGTGTATGCATCCAGATGTGTGTATACTTAATAATGTTTCACAGTGTTCTTTTGTTTTATTGACATTCCACCATGACCTTCTGAAGGGACAGTTCTTACCTTGTCAATGGCCCCAGATCGCCCGAGTCTTGGCTTCCAGCTTCACTGGGAGTGCTCACTGATTTCGAGGAGGGAGACATAGGGGTTGGGACTAAATAATGAAAATAACAGGTATCCCACGTTAAAAAATGCAGTGGCTGCACTGGTGAAGAGCAGTGTCAGACAAACCAAAACAAATGGACCCAAATTAAAGTGGTCGCATGGCCAGGAGAGATTGAGATGGGATAAGGAAAAAAAGGAAAAAAAAAAAAAAAAAAAAAAGGAAAGAAAAGGAAGAAAGTCAAGTGAATTTTTCATACTTTAGAAATTAAAATTTGAAATGAATTTAGACAGAATTAACCTAGGATTTTGGAGGCCATGTCCACTGTAACAAACCAAGATGGAGAATCGAAATAGCTATCCATATAATTCAAGTCAAATATCCTGCTAGGATAGATCATTTCAATTCTTCATTTTATTTTGTTAGTATAGATTTGACCTATTAAGAAATAAGTGTCTATAAGACTTTAAAGACTATAAAATATGTAATCCTAAGTAATTTAAAATGGCCAAGAAAAATCTGTCGTATGTCTGAGTCTGGGAGAATTGCATTGCCTGGGGGCATGCCAACTTCTGTGCTACCAGAGATTAAGAGACAGAGGAAGGGGACATATTAAACCCAGTAATTTGAAAATCTCTCAAAACAAAGGAAAATGCCAGGTTGCTTTATTTTTACATTTAATTAATAGTTTCAGCCCATTGTACTATTTACTGCATTTGGAACTTGTTTTCTTTCCCTGCAGCATCCCAAGATGCTGCTTCATACACAGAAGTGAAGTATTTTACCAGAGAATAGGGAAGTCCAAAGATCAAGGTCAGCACAAGCTGAAAGTCCCAGACTAAGGGTACTAAAAAAACAAAGCTAAAGGAAATATAGATGTATATTTTGTCTCTATTCTCTAGATACAAGTCAAATATCTTTCAGATAAATGCTGCACCCGACAGCCACGATAACTCCTGGCAAGATGATCCTATGAGCTCTTAATACCATCCATGCCAAGGAAGCCATATGAGCAGAGTGAAACTTCGACACAGAAGCATAGACTCCCATTTGGCTTCAATCATGTGCAATTTCCTTTTATTTATTTAATGGAGTAAAGGGCTTAACTATTTTGTCCAAATCTTATACCCCAATGGCAGCCATGTCAAGAAGCCGGGAGTTTTCTTGAGGTTCCACAATTAATTCACTGATTACCCTCTGTGCAAAATCAGAGAGATGGAGGAAAAGTGAAAGTGGAGTTGATCCTTGCCAGGCCTCTGGCAGAGAGTCAGGGAAAGTTGAGAAGTTGGTTATGGCTTAGGGAGAGTTAAGCATTTTGTTCTTAAAGTTTAATTACTGGCGTTATGTAGGATAGGGGAGACTAGGTTATACCACCGCTTTGTTAAACCAGCGTTCACACGGAAACAGTGTGTCAAACACTATTTTGAAGCACAAATATCACTGATTGCAAGTTGTCTGATTGCTATCACATGTTAGCTAAGTACAGAGCCGTTTTCAGGCTTCTCAAAAGCCTATAAAATACCCCAAAGGTGACATCTTTCAAAAGGAAGCTGAACAAAATCATATAATTTTATTAGGGTTTATTATATTTTTAGACATTATTTTACCTACTGCAAATTGAAATTGAGATGAATTTTTAATAATATTCATTTTGGGGGGTATGCATTAAATTATGGCCGGTAGTAATTCCTAATTTATAGGATTAAATATTCTTTGTTATTCAGATTAATGTAAGTATTTATTGCTTATGGAAAATTGTTATTTCTAAATAGCTATGGAAATAAACAAGATTTAATTTTAATATAAAAATGTGAAGGGTTTAAATGAAGAATCATTTTAAATAGATCTAATACTATAATTATTTCTGTGTATTACTTTATGCTTTTTCACTATATTGGATATTGTAGTTTTATAGACACCCTAGGATTACTCTTGAATATATGAAAAATAAAAAATAAAAGAATATCATATGAGAGATAAATAGATGTCAGAAAAAAATACATGCATGGGTACATTCAACACAAATAAAACAATGCAGTATCTGGACAGAGAATAATAAAAAAAAAAGTTCATGGACAATCAGCCGGGAATGAATGAGTTGGAGGAGGGATGTTGTAGTGAAAATGCCAATTAGCAATGGAATCAAGACATACAGTAGAACAAAATCAATTTAAACTAATGAATTAGTTGCTTATCTGCCACCATTTAAAGTTTTCCTTCAAGTTTCCCATTGAGAATTCTATTCCCAACATGGAATAACTCTGTGCCTATGATGGTATGAAAATCTACACATAGATTCACAGATCTTTGATAGGCAAAGATAAGTGGGAATTCAGAGATGAAAATGAAGAACAATTTAATAAAAATAATTTAAAAATCCCCAAATTTCAATAAATAAAAATTCCAAGACTCCTTGTATTTACCAAATGGAAAACTCATTGAGCAAGTATAAAACAATTTGCTAGTTATATAATGAAGCAGCAAATTACTAGCGATCCTACAACCTTTCTTCCCATCTTCCCATCTCGTTCCGGCCCTCTCAGTTCCAAAAAAGCATGCAACCTAAGCCACCAGATTAAAAATAAAAAGCCACAAAGTTAAAGACTTAAAAAAAAAATCAGCTCTGCACATGGAGAGTACACAGCCTCCGTCTGATGAACAGTAACGCAAAATACTCAAGGTACCTAGAGGGGGCTCCGGTGATATACCAATGCTCTGCAGCAGAGCCTCTGTCTCCCGTCGTTTGCGATCCAGATCGGAGTCATCCTGAACAGGTTCTTTCTTCTGCTGCATATCTGCCTAAAGAAAGTAGATGTCCATAGCAGAAGTTAGTAACCTGACTGCTTTTCATTGCTAAAATTGAGACTAGTAAACACATGACAATGAAGACAATACAGGCCAGAGCCCTATATTGATATAGTCATGTGGATAGAGGATAGAAGTGTATGTTCCCTTTAATGTTTACTGATCTGGTGCTTGTTTTTTCTTTTGGTAAAAGGTTTTCACTCCCTGGTTCTATTGCATGGTATGAAAGTTTCTGTCACTCCTACTTGGGAGAAATCACCCAAGCAAAGTATTTCTCACTAGGGAAGCACATTTTTTTTTTTTAAAGAATTCTGTTTTCTAGATATTTTATCTTTTCTGGAGAATCAACTGCATGAGTAAGTGTTTGTAATATTCATGACTCCTGTTTGGAACTATGCAAACAGGAATTGTTGGACTCTGGTTAAAAAGTAAAGCTATGAAAATCTGTAATTGTGAAATGTATTATTTGTATTGGGAGTGTAAGTTTACTATGGCTTATAAATAAACTAGGTTAGAATCTATACTAAATAATACAGGGCTGGGGCAATGACTCAGTAGAATAAGTGCCTGCCTGGCGAGCAGAGTCCTGAGTTCAATTCCCAGTACTGGAAAAAAAAAAAAAAAAAAGAATACAGACTGGTGCTATAACATTGCTATACTTCTTGTCACCTAATTTAAATTTTCATAGGATTTCATTGTACACATTCATTCCAAGAAGAAAATTGTGTGGAAAAATATAGCATATAACACCACTGAGGAGCACTTTCCACAAATTCTGTTTAGAAATGCACCATGTGCGAAACTCCTAACATAAGATCATATCCCTGGTCTGAATTTTTATAGAAGAGTGAAAATTCAAACATGCACATTAAAGATCAGTGGACCTGGGCATATAGAGCTCAGGGACAGCACCTGCCCGACAAGCCTGAAGTCCAAAGTTAGATTTCCAGTACCAAACAAATAAGATAAATAAACCAGTGGAGAGGGGACATGCTGGGAGAAATTTGTAAGAACCATAAGGTAGCTATTGCTCAAGAGGAGGAATGTGCCCACAAGGGAAGCATGAGAAGATTATGGTGCAGCTACTTCCTCAGGAAGCCTTGTGAGCAGGCAGATGTGAAGTCATCACAAAGCTTGTCTGAAAACAACTGTCCAGTTGTCAGACATCTTTTCTTCTCCAGAAGCAAGCTGAGTACCCCGACGTGTGCTACCTCCACCTATCATGAAAAGCGTAATCGAAGTCATGACATCTGAAGCAGAGTGAGTTCACGCACTGTTCTGCAGTAACTGCACCCTTTAATAATTACTGATCTGGGGACTTAGCCCCAGGTGGTGGCCCTGCACCCTGATGATAAGCCAACTGCCTCTGTGCACCTCATTCTGGGCTCAACAATTCTGCTATTACTCACCTTGGGCTTGAAATGCACGCATATGTTTGAAGTTTAGCATTAGAGAGAAAACTGTCATTTTGGAAGCCAATAAGAACTAAAGAATGTATTTGAGAATTTCAGTCTTCTCACATAACCCTAAATTCGAAATGGCAGTGTAATCTCCATCAGTGAAGACATAAAATGTTCATGTTTGTTTCCAGCTGTGACATTAAATCACTTCGACAGGCTCCCAAAGTTATGTGTACAGAAAAGCAATAACAGAGCTAAATGAGAAGGACAAGGCAAGTGAGAATCCCTATCCATATTCAGTTGTTCCAATGATTAAAGAAGGATGTAAGGAAAGGTACCATAGTGGCTATGAAATACAAAGAAAAACATCAAAAAAAAAAAAAAAAGCAAAGCCTGTCTTAGAAATTCAACACTGGGTAACACGGTGCTACAGTGAAGAATCCAGCCATAAGTGAACTGTCAGTTTTCCTGAGAGAAGATGCATAATTATTCCATTCATCACAATGCATTCACACCAAGATCAAGGACAGGAACATCGAAGACACATAACTAAAAATATGTTAAGCAAATGGCTTACGATCTGCCCTTGGTAAGCAATATTTGTAATTATAGAATCTTAGAACTATGCATCCTTTAGGGCAATTTCTATCAACTATACCTCCTTGAAGAGCCCCTTTTCTAAGAGGACAGAGTGAGATAGCTAGACATCCTGAGACCTGGTTCTCATGGCAAAGCCATTTCTATATCCTAGCAACAGAAATATTTTTAAATTTCCCTCATTCTCGCAACAAAAATTTACTGAAGGGCAGCAGAGTGTTGGTAGAAATGAAATTGCAAAGTCTTGTTGGAGCTCTCATAAGGCAGCTAGAAAAATAATCTGCCTGATATCTTCCCTTTGAGTCAATTTGGGGCATATTCTCTAAAACTTTTGTTGTGTTATGTCCTGTGAGAAAGGTATAGGCTCTGTTTTTGGCTTTTTGAGATTTATTCTAATTTTAACCAATAAATCACAGATCAACAAGAGTAACCACACATTGTACAAAAACAGCTTCCTTGACCCAGAATATCATTTCTACAACACAAAGAACCTCATCAACTTGCTCTCCACTTCTGTTCTCCTTTTAGTTCCTAAGGAAACAAGCAAGATAATGGTATCTGTTAATTAGGATAAATGTCCACATGGATCAAACAGATGCTTAGGAAAACCATTGACACTCAAAGTCAACCATTCAAAATTAGGTAACTGGGCCTTATTGGATAGAAAAGTAATCTGTAAGCACCTTTAACGAAGCCATGTGCTACTTCATCAAAGACAATTACATCAAGTGCCCTCCTCATGATATTTTTTATTTTTCCTGAACACATGCTTCTGGACCCTACCTTAATGTTTTGATAATTCAAGAAGTGCTTCTTCAAGACTAATTAAAACTCTGCAAGATACCTTTCCAGAGAGTGATATGTCTCTTGTGAGGCATAATCTCAGCTGAGACCTAGAGGGAATAATCAAAGAAAGAAAACAAGGGCCAGGGAGATGGTTCAGTAGAATAAGTGTTTGCCTTGCAAAGGCAAGGTCCTGAGTTCAATCTCCAGTGCCAAAAAAAAAAAAAAAAAAAAAAAAAAAGGAAACTTACCCGCTAAGAATAATCCACCACTTTCAAAAGACAGTTCCACATTTACTAGAGAAACATGCAAGGACAGGCTGGAAAACCCTGCCCATCCCACCATCCAGCAACTGGATCTCAGGCCAAGAACAGGACAAAACGTCAGGGTGGCCCCTGTCAAGCTCACCTCGCTACACTAAAGCGAATTTTTCAGGAAAACAGACAAGTGTCTTAAATGGTGACCACTATATTTATTTTAAAATCAGATTTCATCCATCATGTCACAGCCAAGGAAACAGTTGACATCCAAAGAAGCAGGGTGGGGTGGTAATTTTATACACGCACATAGTTCTCTACATTCTGTGGAGATGATCATTGTGGGTGGTCCTTATTCACTCTAGTTTTCAGTGCTATGGTTAAAAAATAAATGGTCACTAGGTTTAGCACCAAAGAGCATTTTGTTGCCTTTTGAATTTCAAATTTATTTTGTTTAAAAATATACGGTCTTTTAATTTCAAATTTATTTGAAATATATGCTTAAAATATATGCTTAAAGTAAGTTAACAAAAACCAAGACTGTAAACTTAAGTCCATTTATAATTCCCTACAAACAACACAAAAGCTAGAAAATCTTAAAACTCAGCAACCAATGACAGTGGCCTCTTGGCTCAAATTCTACTATGTGTCAGAATCTATACCAGACATTGTTTCAATAATAATAATTTTTATTTATTTATTTATTTATTTATTTTTGTTTTGCAGTACTGGGGATCGAATTTGGGACCTTGTGCTTGCCAGACAGGTGTTCAAGCTGTTGAGCTATTTCCTGGACCCTCAGTGATTATTTTTTAAGAGGCAAAACAAAACTAACATACAGCATACAGACCTCAGCTCAACAGCTTGCAGTTTCTTATGAGAGAAAGCCTCCTGAAGAGGCCAGAGACAAGCTCTGTGCTAATGGTTTCACTAGGTCAAGGATGGAGGGCAGAACTAACCTAGTGATGGATAGATAAAGGTGTCACATTTGAGATGAAATCCTAAAGACATGCAACTCACATCCACGTGGAGGACAACAGAGAGAAGAGGAAAAATAAAATTTTTTCAAAAGCAAAAGTTTGGTGAAAAGAATTTCACAAACTCTGGGCTGAGAAAGCATGATTCATAAAGGAATGATGTGCAGCTTGTGCACCACATTTAAAAATCTGACATCCAAGATGTTCTGAAATCCCAAACACCTGAACACCAGCATGGTTCCACAGGTGAAGAATCCCACACCATGAAATTTCATTTTAGGAGCAGAATTATTCAAAATGTTACATAAAAAATTCTGTAGACTGTGTGTACAAGCATAAAAGAATTTTGTGTTTAGACCTGGATCTCATCCCCTGCATTATTTCTTTGTGCATGGTCACATACTCTGAAATCTGGAAACATGCAAAGCATTTCTGGTCCTATACATTTCAGATAAAGGATATTCAACCTGATGCACAATCCAGCAGGTAGGTGGATTTTAAGGAGAAAAAAAAAATGGGCAAGGAAAGAGAATTGTGTTATAAGGGCTTCCAACTTGAGAATCATCGTAAGTCAGAGAAGAGGACAGGGTAAGAACCAGGCCAGGTTCCTGGTTTGGATATTGGCTAAATAGGAAGCTTCTTCCTGAGATCAGATAAGTACAGTCTGCTTGGAGCCTTGGATCTTATTTACTTATTTAAAAAAGACAGATAAGAAGGGATTACTTCCAGGTTTCTTTCAGCTACAAAATGTTAATCATCACATGAACTAAGGAACTTAAATTATAAGATTTCTTTAATAAGGGGGCATTTTTGCAAAACACCTCACCAGTAGTGACCCTGGAAGGTATATATATATATCGTTCTGTGGTGTTTCCTTCACCCACTCTAGTTGCTGGTCTCAGAAGCTGAATGGCAGCTTTTTTATTTTTTATTTTTTATGCATTTAGTACAGGGTCTGTAGGATCTCACGACACAGGTCTGGTTCGTAGTGATCCTCCTGTTTTCAGCTTGCCAAGAGCTGGGATCACAGGCATGCACCACCACTCCCAGTCTCAATCTCCGTCTAAGCATGCCCCAGGGTGGGGCCAGCAGGCGGATTCCTGAGTCTGCCTAAGCAGGTGCTTTGGTTCACTGAGCTATCTGGCCAGCCCCAAGAGCTCTCTCATACTGACGTCTTCCACTGTGTCCCTCACTGCTCTGCAGTGTCTTCTTGAACCCACACAGAGCTCACAAGGAAAGCAACACTGTTTCCGCTTTTATAAGAGAGGACACATGCCCAGTGAGGCCCTCATGGAAGTCATTTTTTAGTGGCCCCAATCACAGAGACCAGTTTCCAGGGACATCTTACTCAGAAGCCTCTGTGTGTCGCTACCAGGCCTTGATGTCTTCTGTCAGTACATTCTCTGCTCAGAATAAACTAGCTCCGTTTGTGAAGCATGCTTCCTCTGAACAGAGGAACGATCCAAAGGCAGACAGCTTATGCAGACAGATGACTTAGGGCTGCGACAGAGCCTAACAAGGATGCAGGACAAAGCGCCTCAATATCTGGCCTTGACTTGGATCCTGCAAACAGCCCTGCGACTCTGGATGGACTCAATCCACCCTGTGAATTTAAAAATGAGGAAATCAGGATTTCATGTGAGTTTCATTCCAGAATTAGGCAAAGACCCAGGAATACCAAGATGTTCCCTCCAGACATCGCACCTTCCCCTCTACCCTCCACTTCCAGGATCTGAGAGCTCTTTCTGCAGTATAAAAGGCCAAAACTCCATCAGGCAAAACTAATCGGTATAGCAACAAAGAAAAGGTACCAGGTCTGGTTTGCCTGTAATTTCCCTCCGAAATGTGTAAAATGTGAAAGATGAAACAGACAGCATAATTTGGAACCAGATTTCCTGTATCGCCTCACATTTTGTGGTAATTCTATGAAATTCAAGCTGGATATTAGAATGTCACTTTAAAAGGAAACTGGTTATTAGTAAAGGATAACAGGTGCTTTGAAGCTCCAGTAAGTGTTGACATTTGAAGGGAAGGAAACATAATCACTTAATGTCTTTTTTGACTTTGCATGGAAATGAATAGCAATTCCTTGTCAATTCTCACCTCTATTTCACTCCAAAACTGCATATATAATGGTGAAGATCTCCAAGGGAAAACCATTACACACAATGTCAAGGACAAATAAGCTATCCTATCAATCAGATTGTAATGGTATGGAGAGATGGGAGATGCCAGAAGGCTAAGACGCAACTGCAATTATGTTTTACTTTGTTGGAAAATAATAATTGTTATAAATCTGTTAGCTTGCTCGTTCAGCTTTATGGTATGAAATTATATTTATTGAGATTATGAAGCATCAAAACACATTTTAGTTTTCCTTGCAGGAAGAATACCACATGGGAAATCAGCTCTGGCTTCTGCGAATACAAACATATCACACTGTACAGAGTATGAGGTTTTCTTCCTAGAAATATGTTTGGCATCTGGGCTATTTTGCACTGCAATAATAAATTACATTTTTAAAAAAGTATTTCTTTGGCTGAGAGTGTGGACGAGTGTTACAGCCAGTGTTGAGCTGGGAATTGAGGGTCTAGAATTCAAGTTCAAGGAGCAGAGAAGGTGTATTTTTCACTCTGGGTTCCTGATGCTTCACTGGTGCAGAGACGCCTCAGGGAAGTTCTTTAAACTCTCTCTGGCCCCAACACTGGACAACTCTGTAGCTTACACTGTCCTACCAACCTTCTCAGCCTTTTGCCCTTGACCAAACCTAGGATTCGCATTCGTCATGAGAAAAGGGCAACACTCGGGAAGCAATGGGAATACATGACGATCTTTTCCTAGCTCTCCTCTACAACATTTTGGGTGACTTTTTAAAACCGTTTCTGAAAATTACCACTTGATACTTACTACTTATGAAAGCTGAGGCATTGCCAATTGCTGCACAAGATGAACTCTCTTAAATTTGACAATCCCACAAAGTAAATAGGTGACTGTCTCCGTATTTAGGAGGCAAAACTGAGGAACAGCCAAGTTCAGAGGTGTCTAAGGACAAAGAGGTCAAAGACTACCTGAGGGGTCTTTTCGAGTCTGGGGTAGATCTGCTCATTGGGGTCTTTCTTGTCCTTTTGACTATTCCCTTACAAGCAGGAGATTTTCCTTTACCTAATCCCCAGCACCGCAGCACCCAGTACTTACCTCTTTCTTTTTCCTCTCCTCTTCCTTTCGTTTCTTCTCTTCTCTTATCTGTGCTAAGCGCTGTTTTTTGCGCTCAAGCTCAGCTTTTAAGTCACTTTTGTCAGACATTTTGCTTTCCTTGGAGAAAAATATAGAAAACAAAGTGAAGGCATACAAATAAGTCTTTTGGTATCATCACTGTAAGAACAGAAATGCAGCTTGAAAACACGACTACTTAGAGCTAACCGAATTCTGTATAAATCTTCTCCTACTATTTCTGCCTAAATGACTAAAGAAATACAATTTTACCATCTGATAAGACAAAGAAGAGCAACTTACTTCCAAAAAAGCAAGACTTTTTTTCTGTACAAGTTTCTTAACAGATAAAAAGAGTGAGACTGATAAAATTATGAAAAAAAAAGTGACACTGTAAACACTTTAGTTCAAAACTTTTTTCTCATTGAACTAGGAGAAAGTAGCTGTATATCTATGCTAACTATTTTATGTGTGTGTGTGTGTGTGTGTGTGTGTGTGTGTGTGTATTACTATAAAATGGCCCTTCATTTATATCCTCCTTTTTTGTTTACTTTTGTCAGAGATGTATATTCCATTGCCATTCATATATTGTAGGTGAATGATACTATGTCTGCATCTTGTACTATGAATAACTACTACAAAGATAACAATACACAACGTATTAATGATTGTAACTATCCTACTAACCTGTTTTGAAACTGTCTTATTCCTACTCCTTTCTCAATCAAATTATTTTTACAAAATAAAAATAAATAAAAAGAGTGAGACTCAAAAAAGCTCATCATGACTTCCAATGTTGATACCAATGCCACAATTCATCCCCAAACTGAGACAAGAAAGTGGGCCATCACAAACCCTCCCAGACCTGCCCTATTCTCATTCCTGGGACTCAAGGAATATTCTGCACTGAGCTTGGGTACATGGAGATTTCATTTTGTCCCATGTCACATGCACTGGGGAAAATAGCTGCAGAAGACCCAACACGATAATCTTCTTCTGTAAAACTCTTTCTCGACTGTTGAAGTCAAGTTCATCTCCCGGACACCCCTGTTTTCCGAGAACTTTCATTTGCACACTGCAGCAGTGCTGCCTGTTGAGGCTCTTTATGCTTTCAAAGTAAAGCATTTATGAACTCATGTAGTGGCAGCTTCTCTGGAAATGGCAAGGTCTCAGAACAAGTCACTCAAATGTGATTGAATTTTAATGTGATGGCAATGCAGGTAATAATGGTGCCAGCAATACTTTGAAATAAACTTAATTTTGGAAAGGATTCCTACCCCTTTTCAATGTCAACTGGTAATTATCAATATTTGCCTCTAGAAAGCAAACAAGATGGAAACCCTGAGAGATGAAAAAGCCTCTCTGACTCAAATTCCTTAATTAAAGGAGAAAAATAGTGGCCGACTATAAATGTCAAGAGTATTCATTTGCCAGTGTATACATCAGTGTCAGACCCCTTGCATTCACTGTTACATTTAACCACAGCTCAAGATTGGGGCTGGGAGGGTGTCAGGGTGAGCTCTGAGGAATGTTCAAAGAAAGGGAAGATTTGGATGTGGGAAGATCTACGAAAGAGGAAACACAGTGTGCTGAAAATAAGAGATGTGGATAAACCCACACCAAATCAAATCAACTTCAGTTGAGAATGAATGTGTGCGAGCAACCAGCAAATCCCTGAACAAACAGCAAACTGAGTTCTATTTGTCAGGATGGATAGCATCTTTTGGAAAGAGAAAACGACAAAATCAAAATGGAATTTGCTTCAGCCTGTTCTTGTTTCCACTTGCAAGGTGGACAGGAGTAGAAAACTACAGGGCTAAGGCAAGGAGACAGGAGCCAACAGCTATCTGAATCAATTGCATCTGTGCAGGGAAGGAAAGAGAGCAAAGGGAGGGCAAGTGACCCAGATGTGGCACAGCCAAGAAGGAGGAGGTAGATTCTGAGTGCCTGTGGATGTGAAAGCACAAGGGGGAGGTTCAGTACAGTTTATCATTGAGAGCAGGAAATACAGCAGTGAAATCAAGAAGAAAAGGCAATAAAGGAAAACAGGAAAAAACTTAGTGTATCATATTTTAGGTATCAGTGAGACTCTGGGACCTAACACACAGAAGCAACACCACCAGTGATATGAGAAGTTGAATAGGGGACTGGTGCTGTGGACTAGAGCTTGGGGTCATCCACACATGGGACTGTTAAGGCCTAAGTCACAAACTCCCAGTCCTTTGGAAACCAGGCAGATAGCATGAGGAGCACAGCTGTGGCTGAGGATAGCAGAGAGGAAGTTTCCTGCTCAAGCTTCTGCCATTCTGTACAACTCCACTGGACGGCCAACACGGAGGAACGTGGAGCCCTTAGGTCATCTGATTTTGTTTTTTTCAAAAGATGCTACAAAACTGAAAAGGTGAAGTTTATCAATGAAATGCTGGTGGCCAGTAATCTTCAACTACAAATGGTAAAATTTCTACCAGGAAGAAAATTAGAACCCGAAGTTGAAGCCATCTGAGAAATTACACACATCCTTGCCAATGGGAGCCAAGCTATCTGATGCGGTGGAAGTTCTTCCACTATTAATAGAATGCAAAGCCAGAAAACAATCACCGTTAAAGCAATGGTTATGTCATCCCAAGCCAGATGCAGCCATTAAAAGCTTTCTAGGAAACTCAACTTTTTCCACATTTCTCCAGTAATCTTCTACCTTTCTTTTGCATAACATTCTCAGCAATACATTCTGGTCATAGGGAGTAAAACGTACAAGAACATCTTACACTAGTTCTGATTTTCTCGCAAAGAACTACCATTACAAGAAAGAAAGTGTGTTCTTAGCAATTTCTGCAAAATAAGAAGACTACCTTCCAACTGATAAGGATGTCTGACTATGGTGATCATTTATGTTGGCATTCCTAGTAGTAGAACAAATACATTTTAAAAGAACTAGAAAGCAATGGAGGAAAGTTAAAACAAGATTGCATTAAATAGAGAAGCTTGAAATGATAAAGTACATTTTTTAAGTGCAGTCGAGCTACCTACCACGTTAAAAGACACAGCTAAAGAGGCCATTCTATTTATTGATTTTTGGATCCATTCCAAAATAGGCACTTAACATTAACCCCCTGGAGAATAAGAAATCTCAAGAGAATGCTTCATAAAGGGGTTGAAAAGTACAAGTTACAGTGAATGAATGAACTTCTCACAAAGTGAGATGGTTTTAATAGTGGCACTAAATGCAGTGTCAGCACTGAGCTGCACAGGCCTTGGGGAGGCCGGAGTTGCCAGTCCAACCCACTAAATCTCCCTGCACATCAAACAAAGCAAATCGAGATGAAAGGCATGAAGGACGTGAGTTATGGAGATTCCCGTGGCTAATGTAGGTCACTGCAAAGGCAAAATGTGATGTTCCCAGTCTAAGAAAATAAGAGTCAGAGCTACCTGCTGCTAATTACTGCTCACTTACTTTACACATATAAAAAGCTGGTCTCTCCTTTGCAAATGGCAAGGAGTCAAGCAGGTAAATCAAACCACCTCTGAGTGTAGGGCTCTTCTCTGTGTAACCTTCAGTGTGTCCCACCCAGGCTTAGGAGCAATCCCCGCTGTTTCACACCAGCTCCATCCACAGTGGGGCCAGCTGATGCCATGGTGATCTTTCTGCTCAGCACCCCTCAGAGCACAGCCCCACATGTTCCACTCTTTTTCCAGAGGCATCTGCCTACTCACTTTCAACCTGTCTTCATAGTCACATTCAAACTTTTATCTCCCTGCACCCCGTAGCTTAGCTCTTGCTCTCCCTGCAATTCTTCCAGCTTTGTCAACCCTGAACCCAATCCATCTCCTTTCTTTCCTTTCTTTCTCTGTCCACCAATTTAGGTCCACTCCCAAATAGTGGACCTAAATTCAAAATTCAAATTTCGAATCAGCTACTCTACTTACTTGCGGCAAATGCCTGAGCTTCCTAAATTTCTTCAAACTTCAGCTGTTTTTTCTCCTCTCTTCTGTTCCTTGGTTCATTTTACATCTCCTGCTCAGTGTTGTACCTACCTCTCCACCGTACTTCCTCCTGACTGTCTCAGTTGTGACAACTTCGGCTTCAGCCTATCTGATCCCAGGAACTTTGGATCAAAACACACAAGCCCATGTAAATGAAGAGCACTGTATTGTGCTGGTCAAATTTTTAAATATGAAGGGGGTAGGGAGATGGCTCAGTGGAATAAGTGCTTCCCGGACAAGCACAAGGGCCTGAGTTCAATCCCCGGTTCCACCACGAAAAAAAAAGTTTTGGCCGGGGAGATAGCTCAGTGGAATAGGTGCTTGCCTGGCAAGTGAAAGGTCCTGAGTTCGATCCCTGGTACCAAAAAAATAAAAATAAATAAATAAATATGAATAGTTACTTTTCTTCTTCCTCTTCCCTTTGTACCTTCTTCTGTGCTTATTTCTTTTCTTCTTTTCTAATATTATTGCTACTATTTGACCCTGCCAACTCTTTTGCACATAACCAACTCCATCTGAGCCCACACCCAAGACATCACTCAAAGTCCACTGCAATCACATTAAAAGTGCTCCTCTGAGACCACATTACATGTATAGCATGTTGCTAGTTTAACAGAGGTACCTTCCAGGCAGTCTGGACAGTCTGTGCTCCTGCAGGGTACAAGGCACTTCAGATTCAATAAAAGGTTTCCTTTGTAAACCATTCTCAATCCAAATGGATTACAAAGTGGAAGACAAGGAGAAAAGGGAGTGTGCCTCAAAGGAAAAAAAAAACTTTAAAAAATAATACATGCAAATCATTTAATTGCATATGAATGTAATTCTGATTTCTCTGTGAATACATGAGTTACCTATCAAGCTGTCCTGTGCGGCATCCTCTCTTTCTAATACTGCCTCCGAGGATAGGCAAATCCAGTAGAGAAAAGAATGGACACAAAAGGGAAAGAAAAAGACATGAGAGAGAAGAAATGTGGATGGGGAAGAAGCAGGAAGCAAAGCACAAGTCCATGGGACACCTTCCCTTAACTCCCATTGCCGTCACATTTCTTGTGCCCACAGACATCTGTGAGATGGATGGCCTGCTTTCTGGAACTCAGCAATGAGACCTATCATCCCTGCAT